TAACCAAACTCTTCTTATACCACTACGGCAAGGCAAGTTTGATATAGCCCCTTGTTATCCAACTGTTATTTTGTGTCCATGACATGGAAGCTATTGAAAAGAGACTACTTTACATTACATTGCATTTAGCTGACGCTTTTATCCAAAGCGACTTACAATAAGTGCGTTCGACCAACAAGATACAAACCTGAAGAAAACAGAATCATATAAGTACATCAGGTTTCATAGAGCTAACACATTTCAAGTGCTACTCAACTGGTTTTAGATAAGCCAGCCCTTTATTNTAGCATAAGTGCGTTCGACCAGGAAGATACAAACTTGAATAAAACAGAATCATATGAGTACATCAGGTTTCATAGAGCTAACACATTTCAAGTGCTACTCAACTGGTTTTAGATAAGCCAGCCCTTTATTAGTATATAAGTGCTTTGTTAGCAATTCTTTGTTAGTAATTCTATCGATCGAAGTGGAGTCGAAAGAGATGAGTACTTAATACAAATTACATACAAATATACAATTTTAAAAAGAAACACTCAAATCCAATAAAAGAGGTGTGTCTATTTTGTCCAGTGTTGTTATCTGGTATAGATTTGGAAGTCACTGACACATGACATGGAAGTTAATTTGACTATTTAACAAAAAATACTTAATTTTCATTACATTATTTCTAACAATATAAGGTGGACTAAATCCAAATATAAAGAAGTGTGATCTTCTTGTCCAGTGTATGAATACAATGCTGCATTGATTTTGAGTCATTGGGTCAATGTAATTTTTTATAAAAATNAACCCCCCCCCCCCGCAGCAACTCTATATCCACCAGTTAAAGGAAATACAACTAATGTGTTGTGTTATATTAGCTGTACAATTTACAACATATGGTGCTCTTAGTTTCCATACCTCCTGTGTTTTAGGGGCGACTTTTCAAGTCTTGGCAAACGGCATAAAACACGATTAAAAATATAAAACCATGTTCGTATCTACAACCTATAGAAATGCAAAACGGCGTCAGTTTAGACGTAATTCTGTCCTCTTGCTTACCGCATCATTTGTGAGAGTCTCAAACAGGCGTTTGTTAAATCATTTTAAGATTGGCTTTAATCAATGTTTGAAAATGAATTCTTCATATATGATAAATGAGAGGTAACATTTTATTTATGGTATTATTTCCACATATTTCTCTCCATTCTTCCTTCTGCCAACGGTGTCGCAGTTTCTCGTCTCTCCCGTTTTTGTGCTTAGTGCGTACGCATGGGTTAGAGTTTGCGTGGAGGACCGCACGTTTTCCCGTCAAGTTAGTATTTTATAAATCGCAAACATTGCGTAGAAACTGCCGTACGCCATTTTTTTAGCGTATATCCCTTTATAAATGAGGCCCCAGATGTTTACTACACCCAGGTTTGGATATTCCCTTGAGAGGATTTAGTTGTTTTTGTGACGTTTTGGTCGTTTTCATTTCCTGTGGGGTGTGCTCCTCTTCACTCGTTTACCTAACAACATCGCCACAGTAACTGACACCTTAACTCTGGAGGTTTTACTTCAGGGGTTTGGATTAAAGAGAAAGTCAGAGAAAGAAGCAAGCACTCTTCTAATGCAGTGTTTTTAATAACAGTCTTACTCAATGTTGTATTTATATTCTTCATAACTCATGTGACNTAAAAAAAAAAGAACCCCGTGCAGATAAAAAGCCAGTCATTTTCACTCATCAAGTCATCTTTCCAAAAAGAAAAAATGGCCAAGAGACGCCTCGATATGCCATATCGAGGCGTCTCTTGGCCATTTTTTCTTTTTGGAAAGATGACTTGATGAGTGAAAATGACTGGCTTTTTATCTGCACGGGGTTCTTTTTTTTTTATCTCACTCCACCCCCTCGGTCTTCTGACATCACATAATTGGGGCGGACCCTTCTGTCACTTTTATGCATACTAATGTGATGGATGCGGCATTTTGTTTTATTAGACTTCGGGGCGGGCTCACCTGTCACTTTTTATGCATACTAATGTGATTGAAACATTTTTTATTATACACCATAAGGCGCAACAGTGGGGGATTTTCACACCTGTGAATACACATCACCCCCTTCCTATCGACGGATCTCACACCTACTTGGGATATCACACCTACTTGAGATCTCACACCTCGATCAAAGGGGAGGCGGGACTTAGCTCATTAGCATAAGTAGGGAGAGGTGTGACCCGTCACAGCACCTGTCACTTTTTATGCATACTAATGAGACGAAAGCGGGATGAATATTACTACTTACGTGTGTTAATAGTCAAATTCCAATAGTTAAGTAAACTATCATAATCATCCTAATGACCAAAGTGATCANCACTGTCTTTCCCCTGTTTTCCAAGTCATCCGTTTTTCACTTCTGTCGCTTCTGTAGTCACTGTTCAGAGTTAGCGTAAACGCGTTTCCATTTGCCTGCAAGCGGGCATCCAAAGCTGCCTTCAGCCTTCTTCGTCGGGCACCGTAGTTTGTCATCGGCAATTCATCCACGAGCGATTTTTAGCGGAAGAGATGGCAGCCTGATCTCTTCACGGAGGCCGTTATTTCCCTTCTTGAATAATCTCCTTGACAACTCACGGAATGCCTGCTAGCATGCCCTAGCGTCGCACACTGCTACGTGCTAGTAGCCTTTAGCCTCCCCGTTGCTAGCCTCACGGCTTTTATCGCGTTGGGGGCATCTTGTCCCAAATAAAATGTTCCAAAAATAAAAACGTTAAATACTTTGTTGACTCTCCCAAATACTAAATTAACTACACTCAATCAAAATGTAAAGCCAATTATAGCTTTAAGTTGTTAAAAAAAAATGGACCTCGTGTTTTACACGTCTACTCCCATGGCGTGCCCTCTCTCCGCCCACCAATGTTTGTCACCTGCGTGCAACTTTGAGAGCAAATTAAGAGATCTATGGACACATCTCTCAAAACAGAACTGTAAACAGATTACTTTTTATTTATGGAGATTTTACAAAGTCCAATCCCCTTTAACACTATTCTGTTTTACTGTCATATATAGTATCTTCCATTTTTAATGAGTTACTCAGATGAGTACCAGAGAGTACAGCGTTTGGTGGTCCAATCCACACGAAGCGTGGTCCTCCCTCAGTGTCTCCTTCACTGTCCTCTATTTACACTTCTTGCATGCTAGATGCATGAAGATGATGAAGATGCGCCTCCCTCTTTTAAGCCACGATTGCTTTCTCGCAAAACTTTTGCCAAAACTGTGAAGTCCTTGCATTTCCTGACGCCCAGTGAAGGATCAAATACTCACAGAAATTATCACATGACTTGAAATCATATCTGATTTCAGATGTGGGAAGTAACTAAAGACAGTTTTCAAGTATTGTACTTGGGTACAATTTTGAGAATATTTGTACTTTATTTGACTTTGATGCTACTTTGGTACTTCTACTCCACTACAGTTCAGTAGGTAAATGGTGTTACTTTTTAACTCCACTACATGTATTGAATACCTTTAGTTACTTTACAAGATTTTGATTAAATGTAAATATTAAATCAACCTCTTAAATCAGACTTTACCTCCACCTGGAGTAAATTCACAAGCTACCCTGCAGAATACAAAGTCATTAAACTAGCTGCACCTTTACCAGCTTTAATAACACTTTAATGATCAATCATTATAAAACATATTTTGATAATACTTTTCTACTTTTACTTGAGTAACATTTTCAATGCAGGACTTTTACTGTAACAGAGTATTCCTACACAAGATCTGAGTACTTATTCCACCTCTGTCTGATTTCAAACTCTCCCATTAACACCCTGAGTAAGTTTGTTGTAAATAAAACTGCAGCAGCTTGACCACAGAGCGTGAACATTGTGATCATCTGATTTTGCGCAGTTCTCCAGTGTGTGCGCAGGGCACAGAATGTGCACAGGGGAGTCTCCCACTGCAGCCAGTTGGCGGAGTTTTGGCACAATTCTGTTGTTCATACGTTAACCCTGTCTGTGCACACAGTGAACAACTCTGTCGTCCAGTGATCTAAGCCTCTGCCTCCAGTAAAGCTTTACAGGTCCGTCGGTTATGTCCTGCACGGCTCGGCCGGCACCCAGGTACAGTACAATCAGTCATAGCAAGTCAGAAGATTTTTTGCAGGGAGCGAAACGGCAACGTAGCTGCTTAATGTCTTGTTTTTTTTTCACATGTCTCGTAGTTTACTCCATTGAGTGTTGGCAAGAAACACGTGTAGTCGAAACATGTTTTGTTTTGAGGTACGCAAAGGCGCGTAGTGACACAAGTGACGTTACGCAATTCATATTTGTGCCGCGCATGCGTACCTGCGTACCAGTTATGTGCACCCCTGGTTATATTATTGAGGGAGAATTGTCCGGGGCTACAGAAAAAACATTGGGGGCTAAAGCCCCAAATGCCCAGGCCAGGCAACGCCACTGGACCAGACTACTGCACTTTCGCTTTTAAAGCAACTTCGAGATTTTAACAGTGTGAGGGGCACAAAGGCCATGGTGGCCGTAGGACGTACAATTATTTGTGGGGCATAACGGCCAGACCGAGGGGCAACGATGGCCGTCATGGCCGCCCTGAAATTCTTACCCTGATTATGACAGTAAAACAGAAAAGGACCTTCCTCAAACAGCTGGCACAAAGTTAGAAGCACACTGTTGTTTAACATATCATTTTTAATGAAGCAATAGGATTTACTTTGATTGTGACTTATCCCCCAAACCATGATAGAGTCCCTGAACAAGGAAATACAAACCTGTCTATATATAGTTTTTACCGCAATATCCTGAAGTGTATTTGGAACTATGGAAATATGAAAATAAATCAACTTATGTCATGAATTAATCCCTAAGTTTACTATTAGTATCGTACATGCTCTGGTGCAAATAACTGTGTGCGCACACATTTAATTGTGTTTTATACAGAATTTTAGATCATGTTTCCAAACTAAGCATTTGAACAGCAGATATTTGTACCCACATGTTGGCATTTGTTTCAGTTTCCTTGGCTGTCATTTACTTCCTACAAAGCCTAGCACTCATGAGGAGGCACAGGAGGAATTGATTTCCGATCATCCTACCCTGCCTGAAGGTTCCCATTGTGTTTAATTGGCCGCGATCACTTCCAACTGCCATGACTCATTTGTTCGACAGCTGAAGGAAATAGTTTAACTTTCACAAATTTCAACAAACGATTTACTTTTCCTCTTCACAAGCCAGCATTAGGAAGTCACTTCTTTGGTTTTGACTGAAATTATATCTTAATCTTAGATCTACTGGAGTAAAATTTATTAATATTACAGAGAAATAAAATCGAAGAATACATTCGATATTTTATCTTAAAAAGTTTTTTAAAAACCTTTTCTAATTGATGGGAAAATACTGAATGTAATCTTTCTATATCAGAGTAGCACATGATAACAGAGGCCCTACGTAGCTGTGTACGTAACAGGATGTATAATTACATGGATGACGCTCATGAGACACTGTGTTAGACATATGATAGCTATGTTGCTACGATTAACATGATGATTCAGCCCCTAGGGAGATAGGCATATGACTGTCATGGTTATTGCTTACGCAGGCCTTAGCTAATCTGAACTAAGCATAGAATACTGCTTTGAACCGGTATACATGTATCTTGTGACTGAATAACACCCTGTCTTGTATAAGGCACGTGAAAGACACTGTTCAGGAACTAGTTGTACCAAATGCTCTGTATGTGATGACTACTTCCATTCTTGCAAGGATAATAAATACATGTATCCTGATATTGAAACTCAAGCTGGTGACGAGTGAGTTTTCTAACACTAATTATTTCAATACTTAATTTTGCCCTTATGTACAATTTCCATCGCTCCATCTCATATCGATTTAAGAACAAGCCATCAAAGCACCTGTCAACAGCTATAAGTTAAAACAGGCTCAGCTGCTCAGCATCATCTCTCTGTTTCCACTGCAGCAAACCACAAATTAATTTCAGCTGAAACACTCTTTGAGATAAATTCATAGCGATAAAGGTTAGACATTTGAATGAACTCACACACATTTCAGCCTCGAACACAACTTGTTTTCTGTCTGATTATCATGCAATGTAGAATGAAGAGCTGTCAATGGTGATTTCAACCATTCTGTTGGGGAAGAGTTTGACATTTTGGTAAATACCCTTGTTTGATTGCTTGATAACAATGAGAGGATCAACACTATTCTCATGTTTAAATATAAATATACAGCCAGAATACAGTAAGCTTAGCATTAAGTAAGGAAGCAGGGGAAAACAGCTAGCCTGTCCAAAGCATTGGTGTGTGAAGAGAACTGAATACAAATTACGGGTGATAAAATTACTTGTACCTGTACCTAAACCCACAGAGCAAGCGCACTAGCATTACCCAGAGAAAGAAAAATAATCTCATATTTCTATAAGTCTTCTTTTTTTACTTCAGGGTTTTTTAAGTGTTTGTAATGGGAATTTGGTTTACCTAAAAATGGTCTGCGGAATTACAGACGCCTCTTAGCCATTCTAAGTTGGTAAAACCTTTTTATTTTGCCCCGAAAGTAGTGATTCCACCTTTTTAACCACTCCGAAAATTGGCTTCAAAGCTTCACTTTTCCTAGGCGCCTAGTCCAAAGGGATCTACATCTTGAGAAGTGCTGGTATAGGCATGTCATAAATTAGGTAAGCTTCTTGTGGTTGCGACCACAATACAATTTTTGATGAATAACTCAAGCACTATGAGTTCAGAATGGTCAGTGACTAAATCAGATAGCGATTCAGATCTTGTATTAAATCTGACATTGTTTCATTCACCCTGAGTAGTATTATTCATCCCGCTTCCATCACATTAGTATGCATAGAAAGTGACAGGTGCTGTGACAGGTCACACCTCTCCCTACTTATGCTAATGAGCTAAGTCCCGCCTCCCCTTTGTTCGAGGTGTGATATCCCAAGTAGGTGTGAGATCCGTCGATAGGAGGGGGGTGATGTGTATTCACAGGTGTGAAAAGCCCCCACTGTTGCGCCTTATGGTGTATAATAAAAAATGTTTCAATCACATTAGTATGCATAAAAAGTGACAGGTGGGCCCGCCCCCAAGTCTATTAAAACAAAATGCCGCTTCCATCACANGTTCTTTACATCTGTGAATTTGTCAATTCTAGAGTACTGCAATACTACCGGGTACAAGTGTTTGTAAACCGCTTTAAAATCAAAACTGCTCCACTTGTTAAAAATAACAAGTGGAGCAGTTTTGATTTTAAAGCGGTTTACAAACACTTGTACCCGGTAGTATTGCAGTACTCTAGAATTGACAAATTCACAGATGTAAAGAACAACAGAAGAATTTCTCTGCTCGACCCATTTGAACAGTTTTTGTTCCTTGCACACTTTGAGTTATCCCTCCTGCTCGTTATCCTTCAGGTCCACGCTGCTGGTTTTGTCAGATCTGGGCGATGGAGAGAAGGTCAAAGATCAGATCATCCTGGACTGGGTCAACAGCACCCTGACGAAATCAAAGAAGAGCACACAGATCAGCAGTTTCAAAGTGAGTGTGTATGTTGGTGAGCAGAGGTGGGACGTAGTGGAGTATGTTACCGTGTTTTTTCTGGTATCAGTACTTACCTCCACTACTTATTTTTCGGACGGCTTTTACTTCTTACATTTTGAACACAAATACCTGTACTTTCTACTTCTTACATTTTGAACACAAATACCTGTACTTTCTACTTCTTACATGTTGAACACAAATACCTGTACTTTCTACTTCTTACATTTTCCAAACAGGCTGGTTCCTTTAGTTTGAATGTGTGTTTGGTGGCGTGATCATTATTATTTAGAGTCATTGCGTGCCTATTGATTTGAACACGATCCGTGTATCCATCATTTCCTGGTCTTCTCTAAAGAAGAGGGACCAATGAAAACGTTATCATGTTGCCGTTGTTCAGCATGGAGACATTCATTAGCTAACAATGACATTATTGTTCTATTAATATAAAGGGAGGTCAGGTACTCTTTAAAACAGCTGCTAGTTATGGGTACTTTTTACTAAAGTACATTTCAAAGCCTCTTTACTTTGACTTGAGTAAAGAAGTTTAGTCAGTACTTCCACTTTTACCCGAGTATTTTTAAACACGACTATCTACACTTCTACTTGAGTAAAGGATGTGTGTACTTGTGCCATCTCTGTTGGTGAGAGAGTACGTGGTGTGAGTAAACAAAAGGCTGTATTTGACACTGCTTCCTTGTTTTCTGCAGGACAAACTGATCAGCACCAGTCTGCCGGTGATTGATCTGATCGATGCCATCGCTCCCAATAACGTGCAGTGGAACATGGTGAACAGAGGAGTGAAAGGAGTGCTGAAGGCGGACGATAAACTCAACAACGCAAAGTAAAAACACCAAATCTCAACAGGTTATTGTTCTTGATGTTCTTCAATTTGGTATTTGACTCTTCCTGTTCCTCCCCCAGGTATGCGATCTCATTGGCTCGTAAGATCGGAGCTCGTGTCTACGCACTTCCTGACGATTTGGTGGAGGTGAATCCAAAGATGGTGCTGACGCTGTTCGCCAGCCTCATGGGCTACGGTTTGAAAAAGGTCAACCGCTAAAACACAAAGAAGACAAGAACCAACCACCAGGAAACCAACCACGAACATCCATTTTCTTTCTATGCGCTTTTCCTATTTTTCCCCATCTTTTCCCCATGATTTTAATTGTTCTAATTGTAAAATCAGAACAAGTCTGTTTCTCTTTTCATGCGAACAATAAGCCTCCCTAAAGTTGGAAATCACTTCTCATCAGCAAAGCCACTTCATTTGTTTCCTATCAGTGATTTCTATAGAACAATCTCCTAATTGTTCTTTTTTATATATTTAATAACGCATTACATGTATTTACTTTTTCTGCCATATAAACAGAAAATAAGCCTCAGCAGAAAAAAGGAAAAAAAACGGAATCTTGAACATAAATATCATTTATGTCTGTAAATGTTGTGCATTGAATATTGCTATTTAATTAAAGAGAGAATCTATTGAATGTATTGAGCAGCCTTGTATTTGTGTGTGTTGTGTCTGGTTAAATAAAGATGAAAAACAACATGTTGATTTAGCGATACTGAGCTACCTTTAAGGACAGTAGGACATTAGATAGGATAATATCGTTTTTCCGACTGATTGAAGAAAGAGACCAAAACAAATGTCAGCAAAACAAGTTTATTTTATTGCTTTTTGTGTTACGTGTTATTCCCTCAAAATTGCAAATGTACTTACACTTCACAGCTTCTCTTACCAGCATCCTGATCTAAAATTGACCTTTATTTTAAATATATGTTTATGTAATATGCTTTCTCTGTACCACTTTGTCCATTAAGCCTTGATAACTTAGCAATTTCAGAGTTAGGGTTGGTGAGGTAATTCACTTCAGAAACACTTTTTATTATTCCATGGAATGCTCTTAACATCCCGATAGCAGTGGTTTGAAAAAAAAAACATACAAAATGTCATCTGTGGAAGCCGTAGTACTGTAAAAAGCACGACCAATCATTTTAGCCGGGCCGGCTAAAATAACTGGACCTACCTGCCTGTCAGCCTTCCATCTGTGCACAAACTTATCTCGTGCCCTCATTGGTCATGTGCGCGTTCGTGTGTGTTGGAGGAGGGGCCATGGGGAGGGGCTCTGTAAGGAAGTAGCAGATTTCTTCCAGCTGTGTATTTTCAAATTCTAGCGCACTCGAGCTGGTTTCTCCAAAATTACCTACCCCACCTTTAAGTGTCAGGACTCAACATTGATATAATGGGCCACAATTAATCAATTGTAATAATATTTAGCCTAAAATAGAATGAACTAACACTGTAAAATGCCTTAATATTTTTTTGCACAAGCTGTGACCGTGACATAATCAAAGTAAGGTAACTTCTTGAGGTTTAAGATAAGATGCAGCACCATAAAAAAACAAGGCATTGCACACAAAAGAGTAGACATAAACAATTCTAAAATAGGAACATCTCAAAATAGAAAAAGAAAAGGCATTAGAGATAAGAAAATGTACAGTAGGCCTTGAAGATAAAACATCTGTAAAACAACAAAAACGTAATTAAAAAAGTCATTAACAAAAAGCCAGACTCTTCTATTACTTTGTTAATTAGAATTAATGATTGTTACCCAAACTGAGGTCGTATTTTTTTGTTTATCCCAAGTAAAGTCTCACTACTTTTCCACTGTATTCATATTTAATGTAAGCAGTTCACATATGCGTCGCTAGGGGGAGCAGTTTGGAATTCGACTTTAAACAGTGGTGTAAATGACCCTCGATGGCTGCCGTACCAAAATAAAAAAAGTCATTTTGGAGCGAAAGTTTTCGAAAGACATGTCAGGATGAACCGCACATGTAGGAGGGTGCTGGCTAAAACTACATTAGAAATATTTGATATTATATCTTGAAGAAGTGACCACACCAAGCTGCTGTAAAGATGGAGGGACTGGAGATGTCAGCGATGATACCGGCTCTCCAGGAGCTAGCGAGGCGAGTAACCGGCTATAGTTGGTTAAGCTAACTCTAAACAGCATGTCAGACTCTGAAACTGCTGTTGATTAAACTGAGCATTATTTGTGATGGTTGCCACTGTGTTAAGTTGATAAAAAACGTTCCCTGAAGCATGTTTCCATAAATAACGTTTCACCTTGTTGCTTTTTCAGTGCCAATGCTGCTGAATACGACCAGGCTGTGCAGAAACCTCGACAGATCCTGTGTCAGTTCATTGACAGGATACTGACAGATGTGGATGTCGGTAAGGTTCACTGAATCTGAAGCACGTACAGGAGCAACACACAATATTAGAAACCCCTCACAGTACAGTGATGACCTATAGTAGTAAAACACACCTTATTAAAGCTGCACAAGTGTTCTGTTTTTGTGGAGTCTGTCAAACGTTTTTGCTAAGTCTATTCGTCTAATGTTATCTTTGAAATATAGGAGGATTTGGCCTACTGTACCTACTGTTCACTTTCCAAATAGCTACTTCTGAGTAGTTTTTAACATCCTAATAAATGTTAAGAATTTTCCTCTCGCCCCAATTTGTCAATTTCCCTTTGCAAACAATAACCAAACAATGGCACTTGTCATGACTAAATAACACCACATGTTTTTTAAACAAAGGATTGATATTCTTAATAAATGCCAATTGTCATAACAAAGGAAGTTGGCCTCACACGGGCTATGGAGTTCAAGAGATGCGTCTATAATTGAGCAGTTCAATTTAAGAGAGGTGTTTTATTCAAAGATGTACAGGGTCCTCATTTATAAAGGGATATACGCTCAAAAAATGGCGTACGGCAGTTTCTACGCAATGTTTGCAATCTATAAAATACTAACTTGACGGGAAAACGTGCGGTCCTCCACGCAAACTCTAACCCATGCGTACGCACTAAGCACAAAAACAGGAGAGACGAGAAACTGCGACACCGTTGGCAGAAGGAAGAATGGAGAGAAATGTGTGGAAATAATACCATAAATAAAATGTTACCTCTCATTTATCATATATGAAGAATTCATTTTCACAAATTGATTAAAGCCAATCTTAAAATGATTTAACAAACACCTGTTTGAGACTCCTCAGTGCACACAAAAACATAACTGGGAGAAATAAATAAATACGGATATTTTATTTAAAACCACCTCGAATATGTTGTGTTAATGTTATGAAATGTTTTCTCATAAATTATGCGGTAAGCTGGAGGATAGAATTAAGTCTAAACTGACCAGTTTTGCATTTCTATAGGTTGTCCAGTCATCATGACACCACTCCGGAGGGATCCCCCGATCATTTCTTAGAGTTTCTCATCAAGGGGGGGGTCTCCTGTCCTCGGTACAAACAAACTGCCTGCTATGTGTATTGTTTTTTGTCATTAACCTTTTTCGGAACACTTATTTATTTATTTTGGTGACGATCCGACCTCCATGCTGCTACTCTGGTTCAAACTGCATCCACCAAACAATATGATTTATCTCGACCTCCCCAAAATAACCAGAATCTGACACGATGTGAGAAGTCTTTTTTAGCTGTTCTGTCGTCATTTCCTGCGATCTTCTCCATGCAGTCAGTCAAAATGAATGAATGAATGAATGAATGGGCGTTTCTTTGACTATTTATAGGCAAATATCGGCGTTACGTGAAGCCCGCAAAAGCTGCACCGCATTTCGAGTCGGTTGTGATCTATAAAGGGAAACCGGCGTAGGAAGTGCCGTACGCACTTTCCTCGCCGGTACGCAATGTTTGGTGTATCGGAAAGTGGCGGAAAATGTATGGACCTATTTTTCGGATTTCTACTACGTAAGCAACCTTCCCACGTCAATCCTACGCACGGCGTTATACATGAGGCCCCAGGTCTGCAGAAGAGACACATCAAGAAATTCACACAAAAAACACGTTAATGTGTGTAGAATAGATAATGGGGTCTTTCTTTTCGAACACTGTTATCATACTGTAACTTTTATGATTAGTCTTGCAACCCATTAGGGCTGGTGAACCAGTTCAATAAATCAAATCTCTTGTCTTTTCTCTTCCAGTTGCTCTAGGCCTGAATAAGAAGTCCAGTTCAGAGCCGGCCTGTGTGATGTTGCTGGACTTTGTGCAGCATATCATCAAATCCTCGTCTCTGATGTTCATTAACCCCGCCTGCCAGCCCGCTGAGTATCCAGACACCACACAGAGCTGCACTGGTAGGAGCCTCTTTAAAAAGCTGCAATATTACTAACGGCTGCATTAAGTTGGAATCAGGTGGATGGCAGACAACAATACTCATGGATGGACCTAGAAAAACAAACACAGTTATCAAAGAACTGATCAACTTCTCATTGTTCGTGTTTTCTCTTTGTGTTGGGGTTTAATGTAACATCTACTTGTTATTTATTTTCGTCGTGGAGGATGCCAACATGTTTAACTTTGGATGACAATAATGTCTACCATGGTTGTTGCCAGTATTGTCTGAGGGTGCGTTTCACTTCGGTTAAATGGATTCCTTGCGTCCCTCACTTGCGTCGTTTCCCTGCGACTAGTCCCTCCCACCAGGGAAGCATGGAGGGACGCAAGGAAACCACGAGAAGCAGGGAAATGAGTTTTAAGAGCAATGGGACGTCGTTTCCTCCGGAGCGCCACGTGAAGCGACGTCCGTTTGTGATGACGCTGATTGTCTGACAGCAGCTAGATCAGTGCATGCGCTGCATCGTCCAATCAGTGAGCGATACACAGTAAGGGGGCGGGGCGTGTGTCTGAGGATTTCACCGGAGGATGGTCTGGTAGTTCCTCGATTATCGCTCCTCCGTTAACACTCCTCGATCCTCCGGCACAAATAAGGCCACTGGGACGCTACTCAACATGGCGCAGACAAATCAACTTCCGATGATACCGAGCCCGAGGAGCGAGGAAATGAAAAATAGTGAAACGCAGCCGGAGTCTCATTTAGTTTCCATGTCCTGCTCTCATTCACTTCCTACCGTCTGCTTGAATCCATGTAAATGCAGCATCTTCATATACGATACGATACGATAATACTTTAATGGTCAGATGAAGTCTGAAATTTGACTTGCATCACAGCAGCTCCATGTGTACCATCAACATAGACCAGAGTCCTGCACGGGTCGGATTTTCAAGACCCGCTCCGCGACGTGCAATACCGAACCCGCCCCGCTACCCGCACATATTGCCAATTAGTTCCGCAACCCGACCCGAACCCGCATATATATGAGCAGTGAAAACGTGCAATTATTAACACACGCAATTGCATATTTGTCTCAAAAAGCGTGGGATGTTGGTTATTCTCTCCATCTAGGAGGACACCAAAAGCCTCACAGACGTTGGATTTCGCTCTTGAGGAAGTGTTATTGAAAATGCTGTATTCTCCGTTAGAGAGCTTCACCTCAGCCATTTCGAATGTGGCGCGCTCAGCAGCAGTTTGATGCGCTGCAGAGGTTATGATTATGCTCGGACCCGCGGGGGAGAGATCTGAGGATTTAAACATTTAACTAAATTATTATTATTTTAATATATTTATTATGCAACACCCGCGACCCGACCCGCATCCTCTTTGTTTTACCCAGAACCGAACCCGGAAAAAAGCGTTTGAAAAAATACCA